TCAGACTTTTTCGGGCAATTTGGAAATTGTGGTCAGGAAGACAACATTCATTGTGGAATTCCTAAGGAGAATAACGAAATTGTGACTAAATTGAAGAGTAATTCGAGAAAATCAGAAATAAAACTGCATGGAAAAACGGTTGCATATTGCAACTCCTCAAACTTAGACTTTAGAAACAGTAAGAACAAAAATGAACATCGGAGCGGGCCTAAGGGTTCTAATAGAACGTTCGTCCCCACAGAGCCTCGCCCGAGAACATCGAGGGTAGGTCAAAGGTTTCTACCTAAGACTAAGGAAGTGAAAAGTAATTTTGCAACTAGTGGCGACCAGGAACATAGGCCAAAGCATAACAACCAGAAAATTCATCCTAATTTAAATTTAAAATCATTATTTTTTTCGAAATTTTTTAAAAAGTACAAAATTCAAACATTTATGATTAAAACTGGATTAAATTTGCGACTTCGGAATTGAATATTTTTTCGACTCGTCTGGTGCCTAGCAGAGGTCGAGTAACACCAAATCAGACGGAACAAAGTGCGGGGTCCTCGAATCCATTTCCATGCAGAACAGGCCACAGCTCATCCCATGATATATGTAGTGGAAGTACACTTAAACGGTAGCGCCATCCCGAAATTCGAACACGTACACGGTTTTTGCATGTGCATCCGTCCCGACGCGCAGTCGGGATAGTTAGCCGACCGTTAGAGTCCTCGCCCGACGCTTACAATGCTGCAGATGTGCCCCTTTTATATCCGCTGGCGGGGTTCGAACGGCTCACGAACGTGATAATTGCGTTTTGTTTTTAAAACAGACCCACGGAATCGGCGCGTAAATACAATACGGATCGCGGGGCGACGCCGGATGGAGGGGACGGCGGGCGTCCAGGAGCAGGCGACGCGTTTTGGCAGGTTCACGTCTATGGGTATAATTTCGGTTATATTTTGCGGGTGATTTATTGCCAGAAGTCGTAAATGTCGATGTTGCAGGCGACGCGTACTGCGTTGGCTTGGAACTTTTTGTTTTCGTTACGGGGTGTAATAATAACTGACATTTATTTGGGTAAATATACGAGTGTATCTACTGCGTGAGAGAGATAGAGAGAAAATTTTGGAATTTTAAGTTTCATTATAGAGGCATCGGCAGAATAGACTTAAGAATTTAAAGTTGCTGTAAAATCAGTATACTGTTTTGGAATATACGGGGCGTTCTGAAAAACACTAGCATTTAGAACATATTACAATTTGTTCCTATGAGCTATGGGCGTATCTTTTCCGTTTTCAAGATACAGAGCGTTCAAAATAATTTTTTAGAATCTAGTCTCGGTCCTATATTCCACAAAATTCGACCGAATGAACTGAAATTTTGTAATATGGGGTTTCTGGGTATGCTTAAATACTTTGAAGTTATTACTTTTTGGCTATATCGTACTGGGCGTTCAGTGCAGTACGCCGCGGGAACATTTTACGTCCTAACTTTTTTGAGGTTAATCTTTTTAGTCTTTTTGTCACTGGCTGCTATGGAAAATTTTATTCTAAACAAAAAAGGTGCTCTTGTAAGAAGTGCTAAAATTTGCAGCTAGTATCCCAAAATTGTTGTTTTTTTATTTCAAGTAGGCTTGTGTCAAATGAATGTGTTATGTGCATTATCAGAACAAGTACTGCACTGAACGCCCTGTATGATATAGCCAAATATTAATGACTCCAGAGCATTTAGCATCCCTAGAAACCCCACATAACAAAATTTCAATTCATTCGGTCGAATTTTGTGGAAGATAGAATCGAAACTAGATTCTAAACAAATTATTTTCAACGCGCTATATCTTGAAAATGGAAAAAGATACGCCCATGGTTCATAGGAACAAATTGCAATATTTTTTGAAATTCTATCAGGCCCTGAATTTATGCTAGTGATTTTCAGAACACCCTATATATGAAGACTTTATTTTGTGTAAATAAGCTGATCTTTATTCACAAACTTCAGGTTTGATTTGACAATTGGCAGCCTCTTCTGTCACATTCGCTGTTTTGTTTACTTCTGGGTTTTCCTATGGCTTTTTCCAGCTTTATAAGATCTTTCTCAGGTAACCTTTCTTGTTACGATTGTCACTTCACTTTATTTTATTATTTGTAGCACTGTTTGGTTCTTTTATTTACTTCGATGTGATTTAATTTTTCACTTTTTGTTCCAGCAACTGAATTTTAATTGGTTTTGTTACTAACTTGATTTTTTACTGGAACTAGAACTAAATTCTTACCGAGCTTGGACTGACACTAAAACTGCTCTCTCGACTTCTCTGCTACTTAGTTTTATATAAGTTTCTGTATGACAATTGACAATCGCAGAAAATACTAGAATTTTCTTGACTTTTCCAGTATATGTCAAATTTTCTTTCACAAATTATACGTTTATATGCACATTATCTTAAAACGAACGACAATTTTGAAATCCTCATTTTAGAGCTTTCTTTTTATATGCAATAGAGTGCATTTCTAGAGTGCAGTGAATACAAGTTTTTTGTGTGATAAAAATACTAACAGCATACCACCTGTGCCATCATTTAAAAGACATTCCGTAGAAATACTCTGGTGTATTTTCGGCTCTCATTAATTAATTTGTTATTAACATTTTAGTGCAAAAAACGCGTTTTTTTAATTTTTTGCTTATAAAACCAAAACCGCCAGAGCAATCTCAATTCTGTAAATGGAAAAGTTGTAGGAAATTAAATTTCGAAGATAGTGAGAGGTCGAGTGATTCGGTCGGTTGATTAGAACCGGAAAAAAAACGGAAAATTCGGCATTTTAAAATAAAATTCATAACTTTGTCATTTACGAAGATTAAGAGCTGAAATTTGGCGCAGAAGTAGATAATTATATCAACTTTAAGTGTGCAAAAGGCAGGCGCTGTCGGACACCATTAGGCTTACAATTGCAATTTTAATTTTTTTATGCACAGAGAGTCTGCTTGCGTTAAAAATGGTCCGATTGTAATTCCAATACCGGTTTTCAAAACTAGAAGTAAAATACTATAAAACGTCAGGTTTCAAATTTTCGTTAAAGGGCAGGGAAATGAATGAAACATGGACTTGAACATCGGTGTAAACGGCCGAGCGGGCGCAAGTAGTGGAGGAAGAAGGGGAAACGCAAAAAATAATGGTCCGACAGCGCCTGCCTTTTGCAGAGTTAAAGTTGATATAATTATCTACTTCTGTGCCAAATTTCAGCTCTTAATCTTCATAAATGACAAAGTTATGAATTTTTGAAAAAAAAATGCCGATTTTTCCGGTTTTTCCGGATTTTCTTCCATTTTAATCAATCGATCAAATCGCTCGACCTCTCATTTTCTTCGAAATTTAATTTCCTGCAACTTTTCCATTTACGGAATTGAGACAGCACTAGTAGTTTTTGTTTTATAAGCAATAAAACCTTTAGAAAACGCGTTCTTTGCACTAAAATGTTAATAACAAATTAATTAATGAGAGTTACGAGTCGAAATAGTTATTTTTGTATCTAGTGCGCGAAATGCTACTTTGGTGATCGAGAATTGAATCCTCTGAAAAATTATTCGAGACCACCAAAGTAGTTCGCGCACGAGATGCAAACAATATTTTTTCTACATACGTCAAAATCTATCTCTCTCTTAAAAATATTATAAATAAGTAAAATGCCTAATTTATTATAGAAAATAGTGTTGAGCTGGCTTAAAATGTCTTTTCTAATCAAATTTTCACTGTTACTATGGAAACAAAGTGGCTGTTGTTGACAACAATAATAATTATTTTAAAGTGACGTTTGTGCTCGCGTCTTCAATTTTTAAGTGCCAGATATTATTTAAAATAATGGAAATTGCTAGTGACGATGAACTNTGTTAGGGCACGTTTTAAGTCACGTGACTTTTTACATTTGCGAACAGCCTGTAACTTTTTTATTTCTCGACTTAGAAGGGTGCCGTTTGGTTTGTTGGAATCCTCGGACGAAATTCTAGAGGGACGCCAGAGTTAGTTTTTCGATATTTTCAACGGTTAAAAAGATATGGAAGGAATTTGTTAGGGCACGTTTTAAGTAATACGTAAATAATGCAAAATAATGCAATTTTTTAGTTTTTTTTTATATCTCGAAAAATAATGATGAATCGTCTTACTGTTAATAGGATTTTTGTAGAGAATAAAAAAACCTATAAAATGGTTTTCTGTGCGACCCGATCGGTTGATTTATTACAGAGAAAATCAGGAAAATCCTCTAAAATAGACTTTTTTAAAAAAATTCATAACTCCGTCAAATTTGAAGCTGGAAAAACAATCTTGCGGAAAATGACAGATAATAATATGTAGTTTAATAGAGCAAGACGATTCCATCATTATTTTTCGAGATATTATAAAAAAAACAAAAAATTGCATATTTTGCAGTTTTTATTGTTTAAAATAAATTGTTCGCGACTTTTCTGGGGAAATCACTTGGGTTTTCATTTACTAAGTATTTTTCAAAAGAAGATACATGAAATTTGCTGTAATATTGAAGTGTGCCAAAAAATTGGTTGGCCTACTAACCTAATCCCATCCATACCTTTTTCCGTATTGGATATATTTCGAAAAACAAATTCCCGAGTAATTTTGACATTTCAATTTTTCTAATATAACTGAAAAACCATTGCACCATTAAGCCTAGTTTACACGACTCTAAGTGGCAGAATACACGTCCCTGTAAATCTTTTATTTATAAAAACGTACCGATTGCATCCATCTAGAAACGTAAGAATATTTCGGTACCCCTCGCTCGACCCCGCTTTCTATTTTCCCGCAATATATTACGCGAAATAGTTATGCAGACATTAAAGATCCTACGCTCGGAATACGCGTGGAACAGGGGAACAATAAATCTTTGTTATTTATTAAAGCGACTTGTATCCTCCAATAGAGTCGAAGCATTACGAAGTTTACTGCGTGCAATAAGTGACGCATAAAGTACGTTCTAATCAACTCTGGTTGATTTTATTGCCCGTTTAAGGTGCTTTACAACGGTTAATAAACGATTATAAAATGCCTACATGAAATAAAGATATTTCATTTTTTGATGTCGCCCAAACGTATTTAACAGTAAAATACGTCGGTGTTGTGTAATATACATATACAGGGTGTCAATCAACTACGTCAAAAGTTAAAAACCTGTTTTAGTAAACCCTGTTTTATTCTTTTTTTTAGGAAGAGACGAGGTGCAATCAACGCCAAACAGCTGGCTTTCTTGGAGAAATACCGTCCCAAATCCAGGCTGAAGAAGAACGGACACAAGAACTCCTGCTGCGTACAGTAAACTCTCTCTCTTATATATGTGTTCAATAAAAAAAAAACAGGGCACTTAAATATAATGTTATTTCAGTATCATATGTGTGAATATACGTAAATTTGCTTATTTTGTTTAAATCGAAAGTGTATACAATTTTTTTCGAACATACTACCTAAATATATAGTGGTGTTCTTGTGTTACAGCTTCGATTTAAAAGAAAATGTGGTTCCGCAACACACGTGGTTTGATTTTTTTTTTTAATTAAAATTGAATTGATTTCTCTGAATTTCTATGAATAACTATTGAATGTAACTAAATGTTAAATATTGTCCATTAATGTTGTAATGATTAATACTTAAACATTATTAATTTTATCGTATTTTATAATTGTTATTTATTCACTTATTGTTCATAAAAAAATTGTTTTTACAAAATAATTTGACGAGTATAACTAGTTCTTTATTTTCCCCATTGTTAGGTAATTCGTAAAGTGTAATTTATTCGCAGTTTGTAGACTAATTTCGTGACAGCAGCTTTCAGTTTATTCGTGGAAAAATATTCTTTGATATTTTATCATTTACTCTTAGTTACGATGTAATACATTTAAAATTATATTTTATAAGTATATTACAGTCATCGGATCACTTAGCTTTCACATTTTTTATGTAGATATTCTGGACAAATATATTTTATTATTATCAACAAGCCGTTTCACTTACAACCGTCCCCCGCCAAAAACGCCAAGTGTAAAGCCTACCTTAACAATTTTTTTGGCTACAAACCGATCAAAGATCCCAACATCGTCGCAATCCACGGAGAAAATAACCGTGAATCTCCATTAAATTCAAGTTTCGCTTATTTCTGACGAAGAACGAACCTCCATTCTTCCTTTGTTTTCAAAACATCACGTACGCCACCGACATCGCCGCGAATAATGGGAAGCAAAAAAAATCGCATCTACCGAGCTCTGGCCTTTGCAACAAAAGATTCGTCTCGTTAAGCGAAAGCTTTGCCATTGTAGCTGTTTAATAATGTAACTACAGATCTTGCTGTTACGTCACTAGACATCTGGTAATGACGTCAAAGGGTCAACTTATTTTTTGTGGTTAATCGCAAATCATGAACCATGAAAGAAATTAGTCATTGGATTTGATTTTCATGATTTACATGTTAAGAATCATTAATTTTTACTTTATAAAAGAACTGAAATGAAATTATTGCTTTTTTCAAATACATTCCTTTTTATTCAGTTATTGTTACTACATTATAGTGGCTGGTCAGAAGGACGAGCAAAGAAGTGATGGCAATGGTTGAAAATTCTACTTTTACACAAATTAATGCTAATATTTACCGTTTAATTGACGCAATGCTTGTTAAACTGTTCATGCAAATATTGCGCTGCATTTACATCAGCGACAGAGGAATTTCATTAAAAAATGTTAAACATTTCGTATAGTAAATACCTATTAAAATATTGGCGTCACATCGGTCTGTTGCGTTCAAGGACTACAAATAGAACATTAGATATCCAAATTTAACTGTAAGCAAGAAGATTTCGCGTGTTTTTCGGATGTAGAGAGCTTTACGTCGAATCGATCTTGCCTCTAGGGCGGCCGACAGAGGGGGTTGTGACAATATGACGGTTCAAAAGAAAAATGAATTAGAAACAACTTGGCAGACCCCAATTTAATGTATGTAAGTAGGATGACCTCCTACATATCTCAAAAAAAGTGTGGATAAAGGTTTTGTGTTCCTTTCAACATCACCATATATTAACTATTTGAATTATTATTAATTTCACATTAGCCTATATTTCCATCGTTTTGCAACGAACTCGTTAGCGATTTTATCGTCCGAAACGTTTAGTTCCGTAGATTTCAATGCATAAAACTAAAAATAGACATAATTAACAAACAATAAGCTAACCAAAATAGACGTGCTGAGGTCAAAAGTGCGGATAACTACATAAGGTTGCATCACACATTTCCAAGACGTAACTACAGCATTCTGTATTTTTTTCAGGTACCTAATTACTGAAGCAATCAGTGAAATCTGTAGGATATTGGGAGGGTTAAAGGTAAGGCGCTCCAACCGCAACAGGGGATCATTTAAACACGCGTTCAACACACTATATACCAATGTAGACGCTTTGTTTACGTATTAAGTTAAACAACCGTTGGCTTGTGCACGTTTGTGCTCTTTCATCTAAAACACCTAAATTCTAACCCAAGGTTAGGCTAGAAATAAAAATATTTACAGTCCAATATTAATATTTCCAACGCAGTCTTAGCCTCTTATTCCAGTGTCACAATATATAAATTACACAGTATTTTTAACACATTATTAAAATATTTTTTAACGGTTATTAAATGTCGACGCCGAACGTGCCAAATATAAGCTGAGATTTTGTGAATGACGCTTTATTTAACAAATTCTCTACAGGATTTTTTTTTATAAATAAATGCTTGGATCTTGAGAATTCGAGCTGTAATATAGTGTTGTTGCTTTATTTTAACAGCAAAAACAAAAATAAGTCGAGCAGTGTTATTTGATAACAAACATTTAAATTTACTTAAATTTTTGCTATCAATGAACACTGTTTGACTTCACCCGACACGATTTTATTCTATTAATATGTATTAAATCTATTCACAAGGAGGCCACCTGTTCCCAAAAACAGTTTCCAACAGTTAAAAGCATGCGCATTCCGATATAATAAGGTTTACATGTAGTTCAAAATTCATTATTTCGAATCAAATGCGATTGCCCAGACTGTTGGAAACTATTTCTAAGAACAAAACTAATAATAAATAAATTGATTAGGACGGCCACAGAAATTTTTAAAGTAAACACTCTTTTTTTTATTTTTAATCAATTGAATTACATTTATCAGTTTGTAATTTAGCTTTTTTCAAAAATTGTAATTTTAAAGTACTATTTTTTCTTAATTTTATNACAAAACTAATAATAAATAAATTGATTAGGACGGCCACAGAAATTTTTAAAGTAAACACTCTTTTTTTTATTTTTAATCAATTGAATTACATTTATCAGTTTGTAATTTAGCTTTTTTCAAAAATTGTAATTTTAAAGTACTATTTTTTCTTAATTTTATCTGTATTTAACAAAAAAATTAATTTCCAAATAAAAAATTATTTAAATAACTGTAATAATTATAACTAAATACATTCATATTCAGTGTTGAAATATATACGTAAACAAATTTTTTCATTGAAAAATTGCAATAGCATAGGGTAAAATATACAGTGTATTTAATGTATAAATAATACATTTTGTTTATAACAAAATATGTGCAAATTAGACAGTTGGCATTACGATATTCGAATTCCTTGGCTCGTGAGACATCGGATTAAAAAAATATCGAAATTAGTCCATTAGAAGCGAGACAATGCAATTTTTTTCGTACCTTCGCAATTTGAACCTCCGAATTCAGTCTCGGAGCAAAAGCCCCCTCCACCACTTTTCGTGCGAGCGACCGCTTTTCCGCTGATTTATTTATGTTGCCGATAACTTATGGATATGAAAATTTTTCCAGCTTAGAACTCGGAAGAATGAAAACACTGGATCAAAGATTATTGCTAAATTGTTTATAAATTAATGGTAAATGCCGATAAACTTTGACCGCTTATATCTTGAGAACCAATAAACGGGATTTAACTTTTTTTTAAAGAAGCGTCTTTCCGAATACTTTAAAATTATAATTTTTGAAAAATCTAAATTGCAAATTGATGTATTTTATTTTATTGTTTTAAAATTAAAAAAAAGAGTCTTAACTTCAGAAATTTACTATGTCCGTCCTAATCAACCGATTTCAATTTTTTAAAGCCCATTTGAAAGGTTGAGCCGTCTTTTCTATGTGAAAAAATTTTCAAGTATCTAGATGCTTTATTTGAGGCTGTGCAACATTTTCAAAATTCGAAAATTTTTTCAAAATTTGTATCCAAAAAATTATTTTGCGAAAACCATAGGACCAATTTTAATGGAATGTGGTGTGTTGTTTTATTATACTCTAAGGTTTTTTTTTACCTAAATTAGAATGAAAAAACTTGATTATTTTGCCTTTTTTTCATCAATTATTGCTATATTGCAACATCGGTAATTAATTTGAACATTTTTAACTTACAGTACATTGTGCAAAACCCAATTCTACTAAAACCTTTTTTCCTCTTCAATATTCTTCCAAAATGCATAGGTTCCAATATATAAGTAAAAACTCAGATAAAATAGGTATTTTTTTAAATTTTTTAAAAAATTTTGCAATTTTGAAAATGTTCCGGACTTCGCCCAGATCTAGTGATCTACACTTTTATTATGTGTTGTACTGAAGGCATTCCAGCAGAAGTGGGATATATCGATAGATAAGCACCTATTCCTGCAATGTATTTCCTTGATTTATTGTTTTTACTGCTTTTAACACATTTTCCGTTAGTTTTTGTTTGTTTGTTTAATTAATTTTCTGGTACAAAACTGCTCGTGATCTATTACTATTTATTTTTTATTCAAATTTTCTTTGTTTTATGGATTTAGATAAATTATGGAATTATGTTTTTTTTTTACTATTTTTGCTCTCTTATCTCTCTTAATTGGGCAATTCCCGTTGAATATTGCAAAATACATAAATGCAAATTTGCGTAAGTAAATATTTTGTATAAGTTGTACTTTTTATAGACTTCATTTTGAAAATATTTTGTTTTGCAACCCTTTTGTGCGCCAGTGTGGCCCATTTTTTAACAACGAAAGACAAAAATACGTGTTTACGACTGTCTTGGCAGGCTGTCAAGCGACATCAGAAATTTTACGATATATAACTTATACTCCGGTTGCCGAGCGTAAACGGTTCACTTGGCTTCGGAGGGGTGTTGTGGCGTTGAATAAGGGAAAAAGCTGATGAACTGCCCGCCGTCGATTTTAAGAAATAAGGATTTAGAGAGAGAGAGCCCGCGATATTTGGCATCTGTCCCGAATTTAGATAAGCGATGAGCTACAATACGGTACCCGGCAAGAAAATCTGGCTGGCAAAAGTGACGTCGGACTCGGACTTGAACGTAGTATCGTCTTCGAACCTCTGCCCGTGTTCCGCTTTGCGGCAACGTGTGTATATGTTCGCATTAAATTTTTTCCAAAAACCAGGACACCGATGTACTGGCCCCCGTGTTATGTAACCTTAAGGTTATTAGTTAAAATAATACTGTTGCGGATCCGCTGATCTAAGGTCGGCGCTTTATATGAATTTTTTTCCGTGCAGTGCCCCGTTGTGAATATCCAGTAACAAATACACAGTAAGTGTACGTGTGATTGCTAACATTGTCGTTTTATTACTTTTTAATTTATATGCGGATCGGAGTATACACGCGTGTGCTAACAGGCTGAAGCTATATATAGATAGAACTCGAAACAGGAATCGGGCGGTTGTACTTGAAAATCAACCATTTTTTTCCCATTAACATAATTTACAACACACCACGTAACTGGTTGCCGCATTCCGAAAATTTCCGAAAATGCAATGCCCCTACACGCGATCTTTTAACGATCCACGTTCCTAAATTGAAACTAGACTCCAAAATAAACGGATAAAGGAGGATAACACGTTTTAAAATAACCCACCACCCTCAGGTGGTTATCTGTTAATCGTGCTCTAAAACAAAAATTTCGGAGAACCGTCGATTTAGAGCTGGTAGAATCATTTAAGTGTATATCCTTGTCGTTACCGATAAGTTGGAGAAAATTAGTGAAGTGATTTATTTTAAAAATACTACGCTATTTGCCAAAAAGAAAATGAACTAGGTATTAATTGACAGCGACGTTGTAGTTGCCAAATCCAAAAACTTTCTTAATTTCACCAATACTAGAGCGGAAGTACCTCGTATTTTTTAAAGTGAAGTGCTAATTATTAAAATCTTGCGCATATCAGAATATATAACAAACTAGCAACAATAAAACACTTACAAATTTATTGGGCACAAAAACATCGTGTCTATTTTGTCTCGTTCTTCCTTTCAGCGTTGTGCAGCGAAAATCATGCATCATTTATACCCCCTAGCCAAAGGCGACCCACTGTGCCCCCTGGGTTTCCACCCTCAAGTAAGGTGGCCCACTAGGTGTAAACGGTGCTTCAGGTAAAATTAATTTACCCCATTTAGTTGTACGGTGGTGAAAAACTCGATTAACTATTCTTAGGGACTATAAGGAACATGGCGGGAAAAAGAGGGATGATGACAAGAGCTTACGTAGGGACGCGTCTACAGCGTCTACCCCTAGTTTATCTTGGAACTCCAGGTAAGTCTGAGGATCTGTATCCCTCGAACTCGGTCTATTTTATATTTTCAAGTGATGGGGAAACCAAGAGAAGGAGTTGGGTGTCTAGTTCCAATTTGGCGAGCGACAAGAGTAATAGTTCCAGTGACAGTGGCTACAACAACCCCTCCTCGTGGACGTCTACCCCGGACTTGGCCAATCTTGAAGATGACACCCAACCAGTTACAACGGTCAGCATTAAATTACCCAAGAGAAAACAGAGACCCATAGACACAGGACAAAGAACAGGTAATAAAAAAAGTCGCCGATGTTTCCGATTAGATTCCAAAAATTTTCCAGTTTCTAAAGGTGTAAGCCCTGTATCAGTTTTTGTTTTTGAAGCATCACTATGTTTTACATTTTTTGCCGATAAGTATGATTATTTAAAAATATACAGGGGCGCCGGAAAATTCGCCGCAAATAGGCAAGATTTTTAATTATGCTTTTCTTCCAATAGTTTTTTTTTGTCTGAATATTAAAAAAGGGCAATCTAAATATGTGAATTTTAAAGTAATTCGAATAGCGTTAATTATAAATCATAATGAATAATTTTTTGGACAAATTACACAATGACAAAAAAAAAGTTGTCTGTACTTTTCATGCGGCATGTTATTCGTAGTATTTTTGCCCCCTGATCACGAATCCGGTGTCAGAATTGAGCTATCACATCACAGGAATTTCCTAACCTCAAAAAACAGGCCAAAAATAGCAAAAATTCACGAATGTGTTAGGAAAAATACAAAAAACATTTTTTTCTACATTCAAATGTTCATTTATATGGTTAAGACCCCGCCGAATGTGAATCCGCGGTCAGAATTGATGATTCTTTTTCTAACCTCAAAAAACGGGTCAATAATGGTCAGATATCACAAATTTTCAAAAAATAACAGATTCACGCCAAATTTGGTATACGGGGGTTTTCGGGGACGCTGATCACGGATCCGAGGTCAATTTTGCAAAATTCAAGATGGCGGATCCAAGATGTTCGACCAAATTTTCAAAAAATAACAGATTCGCGCCAAATTTGGTATACGGGGGTTTTCGGTGTCGCTGATTACGTATTCCAGGTCAGAATTGCAAAATTCATTTGGTAATATTTTTGTTTACTTTACAACCTGAGTTCAATTATGTTTTAACCTTCTTTTTTTCGGCTATGTCTTATTCTATTCTAGGTAATGATTAAATTTTTAAAAACGAATTCTGTACATCCGATCTCGGATTCGTGATCAGTGACCCCGAAAACCCCCGGATACCAAATTTGGCGCGAATCTGTTATTTTTGGAAAATTCGTGTTATCTGACCTTAATTGACCCGTTATTTTGAGGTTAGAAAAAGAACCATCAATTGTGACTGCGGATCACGTTCGGCGGGGTCTTAACCGTATAAATGAACATTTGAATATAGAAAAAAAAATTTTTGGTATTTTTCCTAGCACTTTTTTGTGAATTTTTGCTATTTTTGACCTGTTTTTTGAGGTTAGCAAATTCCTGTGATGTAATAACTCAATTCTGACACCGAATTCGTGATCAGGCGGCAAAAATACTACGGATAACATATATGTGGCATGAAAAGTACAGTCAACTTTTTTTCTTTATTAGAAACTTTACCAGGGGAATTAATACTTACTTTAATAATAATATTGATACAGTTGTACTCAATATATCGAGTCAAAAATAAAAAATAAAAATATCAAAAACCGACATAATTTTTATATCGACATGGAAATATAAACATAGTCAAAATAAATAATCCCACGTTTTTCGCATTATTATTCATTATCATGAATAACGTTTACGATACGAAGGACCAAATTAGTAAACCAGGTTCAGGGTTAATTATTTTATTTTAGTAGCGCGATTTTTAGAGCACGTGGCGTTAAATCCTGGAAATACCACTTAACGACCACATGCGCTATATGCGTGTTACGTCTAACGGTTCATTAAACGACTTCAGCCTGAATTTGGCCAAAATTAAGGTCAAATCAACAAATGGGATTCGCTAAAACTTTTTTCTGTCTAACTGGAAACGGTAAACCGCGATTAAAAAAGATAAATTGAACAAGTGTATTTTGTTTGACAAAAAAATATTCGAATCGTTTTTAGTTTCAGATAGTTTTACTATTAAAGACAAGTCGACAGTATTCAACAAAACTGACAGTTTAGCAACTAGGGCGAAAAAATTGCAAGCTATCAAAGAATCTTCTGAAAGGGGGAGGAGGATACAAATAAAAGAAGTAAAGACGTTATCGGAGGAACCAACCAATCACGATGTACAATTCTTAATTCATGTAATTACGTGTTTGTGCGTTTGTTTTAACCCTTACCTGTTCCTTATTTCGAGAAATTTTATGCTTTTAGTAGATTCCACACGAATTTCTAATTTCAAGTAGAAGTAGTTAATTTATCATTAATTCAGATATATAAGTTTTTTAGTGCTTGAAGAACAACAACACACACACTTATTGTGGTATGGGTAGACTATTTTAGTTATTGCACTGGAAATGGTGAAAATTAAAAAAAAAAGTGAAATACTTGTTTTGCCTCTGTAATTTACAATGAAATAATATTTACGTAACTTCTTAGGAACAGAGGAGGGTAACCAAAAACAGATACAATTCATGTATCATGAATACACAGACTAACAAATTTACAAAAAGTATCTGTTTTTGTTCCACCTTGTATATAACTCAGACACCTATACAAGTGAGAAGTATTGTGTAATTCACATGTGATGTTTATACACGCTTTGATTGTCTTAATAATACGAATTATTTTGTTCAGAAGAATTAACAACTAATAATTTACTCATCTTTCGAAAGTAAAAAACAGTATATTCCCACGGACCTTTACATTCCTAAAAAAATATACGGTGGGCGCTAAAAAACAGTGCAATTCCCACACTTTCGCAAGATGACACTCGATTTTCAAAAAATGACTCGCCTTAACGCTTCAGGTAAAAGCAAAACCCAAAAACGAACAGTCGCACTCTCAAGACAGCTCAGACAACGACGACACCGTAAGCTTGGCGGGAACGGAGACAACGGACACAACTCTGGTCGACGCGCAGGACACGGAGTTCAGGGACCAGCTGGAGAGCTTGAGGAAAGAGTTGGAAACGACCAAAACAAAATGCGACAGGCTGGAACGTGAAAAGAGCGACATCCTCCTCAGGAGGCTGGCTGCCATGGAAACCACAACCAGTAAGACAACTGCGACGGAGGTGCTTAAGCTGCAGCAGAAGTGCAATGAGATGCAACAACAATTAGAAGATCACAGGGACGAGAAGAAAAGTTTAACACTCAGAGTTAAAGAACTGGAAGAAGATTTAGAACAAAGACCAACCGCTCAGCAAGCTCAGAAGGTAGCCGATGAACTAAGATCCAAACTGTTAGCTGCTGAAACCTTATGCGAAGAACTGATGGATGAGAACGAAGACATCAAAAAGGAACTGAGAGATATGGAAGAACAAATGGATGAGCTACAAGACAATTTTAGGTACCTACGTAATAAATAAATAGCTTACTTTATACACTCTTGTGTTATTTCAGGGAAGATCAGGCAGTCGAATATACTTCTTTGAAGAAAGACTTGGACCAAACGACAAAGAATTGCAGAATACTGTCATTTAAGTTAAGGAAAGCTGAAAGGAAATCTACTCAACTGGAGTTTGAAAAAGCTGAGTGTGAGAAAAAGCTAAAGGACGTAAGTTCTTCTTTAGAAACTTGGGTAAAATATTGCTCGTTTTTACTTAGATTTCAGGCAGCGGTACTACACTAAACCAAATAGAAAAAATCAAACAGCTAGAACAAGATTTGAAAATGGCGAACGAGGTTTCGCTGCGTCTACAAAAAGACCTCGACGAAGCCAACCAGAGACTAAAAGCAGAGGATGGTAAGGCCCCAGCAACCAAAAAAAAAGCGCCTATGCTTGGAACGATCGGAAAGAACTCTTCAACTGACGGTGTAAGTAAGTATAATCGAAAAATTGGGCTCTTAAATGATAAAGTTTGTTTTCAAGAAGAAAGTCTCTCGGGAATCGCTAACAAGAGGAGGCTCACAAGATGACCCTGCCCAGCTGCTTCGAGACCTTCAGGATTCCCTGGAAAGAGAGGCCGATCTTAGGGAACAACTTAAATTTGCAGAAGAAGAGGTAAAATAACAATTAAATTCATACATAGTTCGAATCCGACGAGCTAGCTATGGATTAAGTAACTCATCTTTGTATTAGCAGACCAAACGGTTGTCAAACAAGACCCAACGTGTGAAATCATCTCCGCGTTCAAACAAATCCACCCAAACATTATACAACAACGTATCTATAAGCACTCAGACTCTGTCAAACAGTTGGACATACCCCTCCATGTATAACAAACACACACAAACTGACGACGACAGTGAATCAAGAAAATCTAGGAATATTCTACTAAACGCCTTACAGTTTAGAAACCTAACGATGTCCAAAATGTATCAACCCGCAAGATCTTTTTCACCGATGTCGACTCTGCTATCAGTAATGGGTAATGCTCTCTTTTAACTTTTCAGGCTCAAACTTTACGCAAGAAAGTCTCAAGGATTGAGGATGATAATGAATCTTTGGTTTTGCAGCTGAAGAAAATGGCTACCAGAGCCAGAAGTATGTTCATCCCCTAAACTGTGTGTCTAATATCTTTAAAGCGTATAATCCAGGAACATTTGCAGCAAGGTTGGCATGATATATATCAATGATATATATCCGATATATATCATTGATATCTATCACGATATTTATTACTTGATATATATCACGATATTTATAAAAATTTAAATAATGATTCCCAGTGGTTTAAAGTTGCTAAAACTGTTAACAGATGACAGCAAAACCGTATGCTAATCGTTGACGAACGTGTTTATTCATGCGATTCCCCGAATTTTTCAACGAAGTAAAATTGAATGAATATTTTTATTTCATTATTTCTCCAGGTCTTAGACATTTCGAGCAGGTGCTGTGTGTTTGTATTTGTTTTAATAATTATGAAATTTATGTTGACTTGGTTGTAAATTGGTTAGTTTTCGTAGTACTTTCAGAATTTATATTTATTTTTTCGTTCTTGTTTTTGATATTTGGAATAAAAATATTTACCTAAATAGTTTCTTAATTTTATTTCGCTACTATAACATTATACATAAACTAATTAATTAAAAAAAATAAATATCAAGACTTGATATATATCGGATATATATCAAGATATATATCCGATATTTGATATTTATATAAATATCATGATATTTGCCATCCATTTTTCGTTTACACTGTTTTTATCTCAGTTCCTGAATTATAAGCACACATATTTATGTCTTTTATGTATAAGGTAGCTTACTAACTGCCCCAAAATTTTGATAAAATAATTCTAATTTTAGTTCCGAGAGGTATATCGAATAATATACGTAGCCTACTAACGCAATGTGATTAACAACATAATTCCAGCCATTTTCTACAGTTGCAATTTTAGTATGTTCCAAATTTCTTGCTTAAGTTTGATGAGGTGTTCAATCTTACATTTTTTATATTACTTTTCTAAGTTCCATCTTCACCTAGGTAGAAAACTAAGTCCTACCAATCAGAGGTTGACCCCGGAACCACCGGAAAAAGGAGAGGTGTCCGACGATGACGACCCGGCTGAACTCAAGCTGCAAATGGAGTTAAGCGAACAAGAAGCTTCGGTCCTTCGAAAGAAAGTTGAGGAACTCGAAGCGGACAACCACAGATTGAAAGCTAAAGTCAAGGAATTGCAAGATAAATGTACCGCCAAGAGTACCAATAGGCGGTCGTTGTTAGGTAGCGACAATGGAAACAGTCTAAATAGTCAAAAATTAAAAGTATTAGAGGATGAAACGAATGACCTCAGGAAGAAACTCATAGAAAAGGAAAGAGACTGTGAACGACTCCATGCTGAACTTAGTCTAACTCAGAAAAGATCTAAAAGCATGCAGAAAAGCAAGTAAGCTCAATTGACACTTTAATAAACGGACAATACCTAAAAGTTATTTAATTTTCAGGTCTTTGGATCTGGACCAACAAACGTTAGATCTAAAGCGACAACTACAAGTCATTGAACAAGAAGCAGCTGTTCTTAGGAACAAAGTACAAGCTTTGGAATCGGAAAATGAGAAACTTGGCTCAGAAAACAAGAGGCTTAGCTTGTTACGAAGCACCAAGAGTTTAAAAACAGACAAAAACTTGGACAAATACATAGACCAAATAGCTACTCTTGAAGTTGAACTCGCTGAAAGGGATCAGAAGATTATAGAACTTGAAGAAGCCCACAGTTCTTCAAATGTATCGGGACATGTCGAACTTAAGGTTACTGAATAGCAATTAATTAATATTAACAATAACAGTTTTTATTTTAGGGTGATTATAAAAAATTCAGTCAAAGGGTACCAAAGAAAATCACCTCGCTGACATCACGGGACCAACTTAAGACGATGGTCAGTGATTTAGAAAAGGAAATAGGTCAAATGTTAGTCGCGATGAAGTCCAGTGAAAACGAAAAGATCAAATTGGAGGAGGAAGTTAGAAAGATGAAAGAGAATGCAGAAATAGAAAAAGCTTTGCAAGAATTAGCTTCTATGAATAGAAAATATGATTCGATGAAGAAGGAATTAGAAGAAGAAAAATCGAAAATTGATAAAGGAAGTAAAGTAAACGAAGATTTAAACAAAGCCCTTAAAAAGACAAAGGAAGATCTTGACACAGCCAACGAGGAGAAGAGGAAACTGCAAGAGAAAATTCATAAACTCAACGAAGAGCAAGCAAAATTAAATGATGATAAAGATAATTTAAATGAAGAAGTATCTAAATTGAAAGCAAATTTAAGTAAGATCCAATTCCCCTGTATTATTTATGTTTATCTTTGTGTATTTTATTTCAGGGAATGCAATAAGTAAACAAGATGAAATAACACTATTAACACAAAAAGCGGAGTCTTTAAAACTTTCTCTGGAAACAAAAGACAAAGAAACCAAGAAGTTGAAAACGGAATTAGAGGAGAAAACAAAGTTAGCTAACGAGGTTATAAAAACGCGCACAATGCTTTTGATTTCCTATTAAATGTACTTAATTTTCGTTCCAGATTACTGGAAAAGCTCAGAAAATCTTAGATTTAGAAGCGCAACTGATCAAATATGAAAACAAATACAACGAAATTGATAAAAAAATGATAGAACAAAATAAAAACTTTGAAAATAAGGTAAATATAATTCACCGTTTAGACTTTTTTAAACAACAAATTTTTTATAGATCGATAAAGAAAAGCAGAAATTGAAAGCTTTGGAAAATGAACAGACCAAGACCGAAAATGAAAAGAAAAAGCTTGGCCAGCAAGTTGAGGGATTGAATACTAAGATAAAAGGGCTAGAGAATACAATAGAACAAAAGAACAAGTTAGTTAAGCAGCTGGTACGTACAAATTTCGAAAAAAAATTGAATACGGTAGAACCTCGATAATCCGAACTAATTGGGACCGAACGCAGTTCGAATTATCATAATTTTCACTAAGCTTCACTAATTTTTCCCAAATTTCAATAGTGCATGGCAGATTATCGAGGTTATACTGTACTATTAATTTTTTTTTTTTTTTTTGTAGGAAGACAGTTTGGCAAAAGAACGAGAAATTGTTTCAAAAACCAACCTAAAAGTTGGGGAACTTGAGAACAGAGAAATTAATAAATTAAAAGATGAGTTAAGTAAATCCAAGGTTTACGTATCTGAGCTGGAATCAAAATTGGAAATTTCCAACAAAACTGCAAAGAATTTGGAAGACAAAATTAAGAAATCGGAATTAGAAAACAAAAATACCAAATTGGAACATGACAGAAAAATCAAAGAACTCGAGATAGACTTGCAGGTAATCTTTAAGAATTATTTACAAGTGCGTTTATAAAATTGCATACAATATAATGATTTTAGAACGAAAGGAAAAAAATTGAAGTCTTAAAAACTAACAGTGACAAAGAACAGAAAAATAGAGAATTAGAACTAGCTGCACTGAAAGCTAAAATAAAAAAGTTAGAGTTGAATACAGGCGGGGGAGTAAAGAGAGAGCTAGAGATCAAACAATTCCAAGAAAACATTGAGAGTAAGTTACTTAAAATCAGAGAATATAAAAACTAACCACCTTTTTACCCCTAGAGCTAGAAAATACAATTGACAGGGAAAGACAAAAATATGATGACTTAACGGCTAAATACGAAATATTAGAGGAAGAACACGTAGTAACGAAAGCCAAATTGGTAATGGAAAAGGAAACTTTAGAGACGTAAGTTACAAAAGTTCAAATTACTCATCACCTTTAATTATCCATATTTTGCAGGCAATATAAAAATCTGAAAAAAGAATTGGACCAAGTAGAAAATGAACTGAGGATTGTAAGAGACACCTTCAACACAAAACAAGACCTGTGGGTAAAGGAAAAACTAGAACTGGACCAAAGATTGAAGGAACTCTCCAGAACATCATACAATGGAGGAGATTTGGAAAAGCAAAGACTAAAAGCTTTACTTGAAGAGAAACAGTCGGAGTGCGAGCAATTTAAAAAGGAATGCGACTCAATACACGATCAAATGGACTTTATGAGAAGAGAAAATGATGAATTAAAAAAGAAACTCGACGATTATGAGAAAGTCAATAAGATACAGAGAAATATAAGCGCTGACAGTAGTGCTATGGAGAAAGAAATCAAACAACTGAGAGTGAGGTACGTTGTAGAATTTCATAATAGAACAAGTTACCTATTCGTTATTCCCTTTTTCCTTGCAGACTGAATAATGCTGAAAAATCCAAAAAATCTGATTTAGCGGAACTCAAAATGAGGTATGAAAGTCAGATAAACGTAGTGAATGGCGAATTACAATCGTTACAGAACCAAGTGGTTAGATTTAAAAGGGAAAAGGATACTTACAAGCATATGCTGGAATCTGCCCAGAAAACAATTGGTGATTTGAAACAATCGCCTAAAGCAGCCAGGAGAGGTTCACAAAACATAAATTATGACGAGGTAAAGTTAAATTTAAGAAATAATAAATATTCCAACGTTACCTAAATTTTATTTCTAGATGGAAGAGACAAAAACCAAAATAGCCACTTTGGAGCAGCAAATCAGTTGCATGGAAGACGAACTTTCAGAAGCTAGACTGGAAAGCTCGAGGCTGAAGACAGAGCTGGTCTCAGAGCGTTCTTCTTACGAAGTTAAACTGTCAGAATTGCATTCTAGGGTCAACGAATTAGAGGAAGAAAAAGTCCTGAGCAGTGGAAGGACGAAAATAGTCGGTCTGAGGACAAGAATGGAACTGGCTTGGCAAAAAGAAAGGGAAGAACAACAGAGATTACTTCAAGAAACCGCTACCCTTGCTAGAGACTTACGACAGACTCTGTTCGAAGTCGAGAGGGAAAGAGACAAAGAACGTTTGGAAGCCAAGAGGAAGCAAGATCTATTTAAGAAGACTTCCGAAGAAGAACAGGAAGAAAATAAGAGGAAAATCACCGAGTTACAATGCGACTTGTTGGAACTGAGAGACGCTCATGCTAAATTACGAACAACCAACGAGAAACTGCGCAGGGAAAAAGAGAGATACGAAAAGGAAAGGGAAGACTACAGGTCAACCATTAATGGAAAGAAGCGTATAGACCAGGAAGATGACAGGAAAGTCACCGCTTTAGTGGAGCAAGTCGATACCCTGAAACAGCTAGCACCTGAATTGTTCTTTTCGAAAGACAACGAAGCTCCTTACACTCCAACACCACCAAGAAGAACAAAATCAAAATCAAGGGAAACATCCCCGGCTTTGGACAGACGGGAGACTTCTATAGCGCCAGAGGAGAAGCAACAACAAATACAGTATATAATGCAGAGAGTCGTACATATAACTGAAGACTTACGAAAACTACAGAGGTTTTCCGAAGATGAATACGAGAGGGAGAGAATACGAAGGACGATGGGAATGAGACGGGCGACGTCCACTGAACACGAAAATGTCTCGGGAACAAGATACAGCACACCGTACATGAGAAAAGCCTCGGTAATCTCTCAAGGCAGCCTAAAGAGGAAGAGTCTTTCCCTGGAACACACCACTCAATCAGAACAGAAGATATGGAACAACGATGACAGCATGTCAAGCCTGACGTCCTTGGAACTACACTCAGATATGGAAACTGGTAGATCCCGAAGGGACGCAAGTCTTGACAGTAGGTTGTCCAGTGGATCCACCCAAAGCGACTTAGGAGACAAGAAAAAGAAGAAGGGTATTATGGGAAAGCTGAAAAAATTGACCAAATCTAGGAGTATAGATGATCAAGACCCGGGGACATTCTCGCCTACTAGGATTCTTTCTTCCAAGGTTAGTGTTGCGATAAAAATAAACAAACATAATTCAAGTTTAAGTGGTTTCGATTTTAGCCCAATTCCAATTCGGATATTGAAGATAGAGGCAGTAAGAGAGACCTGAAAGATAGAATTACTGGTATATTTAAGAAGTCTGGATCTTCTTCACGAAGTAACAGGTAACGATATTAATAAAAGAGTTAGCGAAGACGGTAAGATTGTGATGTAATTAAGACAAATTTTTTATTTTTTGTAGTGTCGAAAGGAGGCACGAGACTAGTTCGACGCAGAGGCCGTTGGTAAGAAATGGTAGTAGCACCCAAATGGCCCAACCTTCTGTACGTTGAATAGTGTTCTGACGTACCTAGTTAATTCAATCTAAAATCCTTGTTTTGCAGGATGTAGATAAACCTCAAAAAACAAAACCCAAGAAGAGTTGATAATTTAAAGAATTTCCATTTTTTATCCCCATGCTTTGACATACTTTTAGTGTATATTTCATGTAGTATTTTAAAGTTCGATGTAAGATATGTGATTTATATGTATTACAACATATCGTGTTTTGTTTATTCTTTCCATTTTTCATCCTACTACAAGAATAAAAACAGATACCTATACATATCTACGTATTTTTTCTTTATTATATTTTGTATTACTTACAGACAGACATCTAGTGCTTCCAGGGTGTTATATCTCCCTCACAACCGCACAAAAATGAAGTATTAATTAGAAACTGATAGTTTTTTAGATTATAAAATACAAAATATTTCCGACAATAAAGCTTAAAGTTTTTAAAATACTGTAAAACAGAATTTGAGGAATTTTCAATTTTCAATGAACCACAGAATACAGACTACATGGTCATATGTCATATTAGATAGATATTCAGTGCTAAAAAAATATCAAGTTATACAAGCCTTCAATACACTGCTGTATAGAAGTTGCATAACTATGCACTTATTTTTATGAAGTTAGCATAGCTCAAAAGAAATTATTTATTAAATTTGCCTTCTAACTGTTATATATTCCTATTTAAAGATTTCCGTTTCGAAAATTTGAGATATTTATGGAATTCAGTCAAAGGTTTAATATTTTTTTATGGGGTTGGTACCATAAGCAAAAAATTGTACAATTTTAATTGATAGGATTTAGAATTTATTTATACCACACGTTTTTCTCACGAAGAAGAAAAACAATCACGTTTTTTTTAATAAATATGTAATAATTCTATGTAATATTTTTTAAAAGTTGGCAACGAGGTCATTCTTTTTCTGGTGGGAATTGGAAAAGAAGAGACGACTCTTTTACCCGTTTGTACTCCCGGAGAGATTTTCAAAATTTAGCTGCTAATTAGGATAAAGGTGAGAAAACTAACGTGATATCTCATTTCATTAAACTTTAAACTTATCATTTTATATAGAAATATCCATTTTCTTTACTGTTTTTTCAAATTCCTGAACAGTTAAAAGACATGGCTGTCTGTACCTTCAGTGAAGCACAGGAGTCTACTAAATTTCAATGATTTTGCTTTAAATATAACTTTTCAAAAATGTTCAGTTTATGACAAATATTTTTATTAACTGTTTCCTCATTTAAATATCCTTTTTAAGTTACGAACAATGTTTTATTACTTTCAGACCTTATTGGCCCTAGAGCAAACATTTTTCTAAAACCCTTTGATGGAAACTATAGATTTTAGGTTAAAAATGAATCCTGCTAATTTCAACACCGTCCCATGCGGCCAAGCATCGTTGCCCCAAAAGCATGCCTACGACGAAGATGCCTTTCTCATGGAGCTCGAGAGAACCAGGAAGGAGGGGCTTTATTCCTCCCCTCTCCACATAGAAAACAGTGGCATCCTTAGCCTTAATTTAGATTTGTTCAAGCATTATGTAAGTAGCGTCTTTATATCATGTATGTATAGCTATACCTCTTTAATTCAACATGTTAGTTCTCAAGAAATATAACCCTAGATGTTTCTTTTGAGACTTTTAAAATATGAATATTATAATTATACTCAACTAAACTGAGTCAGTAATATAGGCATGTTGTTTAAAAGCGTTTCTGAAGACTTTTAATTACTCAAATATTACATCGATTGATATACTGGTACCAAATTTTTATGTGTTGCATTCAAATGTCAATTTTTTGTTTAATATTGTATTTGTTAGTGTTTGTAGACTGTAACTTTTAAGTACAGCAAGAAAAAATGCTCTCAAATTTTTTCGAAATGATATTCTAAACCTCATTTTTATAAAAGCTCCTATTCTTGCGAAGATATTGATTGGGCAGCAGGGAACGATGCATTTTTTAACATAGTTCCTGACTAAAATAGATTATAATAACATTACAAAATTTTATATTATTTCTATATCAACACTTCAAGTATAAATATTTACTAAAAGATGGCCTGCTAATTTTTTAAAGAATTTCTCCAAAATATCTGCAAAACATTGGCTATATATTGCAACATGCAAATTTCTTTGTGCTCTTGACAAATTTTGAGCATACAGACAGATCTTGGATTTCAAACTATGCAATCTCAGACAAATCTCCCCTACAAAGTAAGATAATACAGAAAATATCAATGTAGTTCTTGTTGTCTAAAATTATTGCTTGAAAAATATATTTTAAAAAGCAGGCATATAACAAAATTGAAAAAACTGATATTTAATATTAAATAAAATACTCTGCATTTTAGCTAATTTAGTGAAATGTCGAATTCATCTCTTTGTATTTTCCATCCTTTTCCATCACTGTTGCCAATATGTGAGGAATTTGTCAAATTGTGAGAATTTGTAAGTTTGTACCTATGTAGTTCGAACTTATGAGGGATTTTGAGGAGTATCAAAGGTGTTGTCAACAACATTTTGTGCTATTGTATTACTGTGAAATTCAGTTTATATCTTCTTAGATCAAGTTACTAGATATGAATGGGGATTTTGTCCATATTGACCTAAAATATTCTGTTACAACATTGGCAACACTGTTTCTGATACTTAACTTATCTACCTGTGGCTTCTTGCGTGTGAATCACGATACTAGTGGCCAAATAATAACCGTGTTACTATAATCTAGTAAAATTATGACAATTAAGTGAGCCGGATTTTTGAATTTTGAAATATACGTAGATACAATCGACTAATTTTAACATGGATCCTCTTGACAATATAGACTATTTGGGACTGGTAAATGTTTAAGAACAAATTTGGCAATACCTAAGGATGATACCCATGTTTTTTTCTTTAAAAAATATAAAGTGCGATATTGTTAAATTTCCTAATTTGTATACGAAATACTGATATGCCGTACTGGTTACTCAGGTACTTCAGTCTTGTTTAAATATTAATACTACAACTTATTTTTGCAAATCAAAAAATATTTTTTGGTTTGGAAACATTTATTTTAGGTGATTCTAATAAATACTTTTGTGTGTAAATATATACAATTTTCTATGTAGAAACATGGGCGTAGCTAGGGGGGGAGATTTCTGGGGTGGGCCGTGCACACCCCAGAAAGCCCGGAGCCCACCCCGGAAAAAATCTAATATCGTCTATCATATCGGCACATCGGTAAGTCATTGACTGCGTGACCTTTTTTTTCGGAACATTTGCACAGGACATAGCTAATACAACATGAAACATCGCCTTACTGTTAAAAATCACCGCCATTTGAAATATTTGCAATTATTCAATTTTCCTGACTGAAAATATACTTCCTCTTTGAATTTCATTTAAAAAAATAAATACATTTAAAAGGCAAAATAATCTTGTCTTTTGGATAATTTTTTAAAAATATTTTTATTGCTCCGAGGGCATTTTAATTTTGATAAAAAAAAACTTTAGAGTGTAATAAAGCAGCACATCAAATTTCATTAAAATCGGTTCGATAGTTTTCGCAAAATAATTTTTCGAAAAATTCGAATTTTCAAAATGTTGCACAGCCTCAAATAAAGCATCTAGATACTTGAAAATTTTTTCACAGAAAAGACCGCTCAACCTTTCAAATGGTTTTTGAAAAATTGAATCCAATTGAATCGGTTGATTAGGACGACTATGGTAAATATTTAAAGTTAACTCTTTTTTTTAATTTTTAAACAATTAGAATACATTTATCAATTTGCAATTTAGTTTTTTTCAAAGATTATAATTTTAAAGTGCTCGGAAAGATGCTTCTTTTTTTTTAAAAAAGTTAAATTCCGTTAATTGGTTCTCGAGATATAAGCGGTCAAAGTTTATCGGCATATACCGTTAATCTATAAACAATTTAGCAACAATCTTTGATCCAGTGGCTTCGTTTTACCGAGTTTTAAGCTGGAAAAAATTTTCATATCCATAAGTTATCGGCAACATATATAAATCAGCGGAAAAGCTGTCGCTCGCACGCGCGAAAAGTGACTTAAAACACGAAAAGTAGGGGAGGGGGCTTTCGCTCCGACATTGAATTCGGAGGTTCAAAATGCAAAGGTACGAAAAAAATTGCATTATCGGCTTCTAGTGGACCAATTTCGATCTTTTTTTTTAATCCGATGTCTCGCGAGCCGAGGAATTCGAATATCGTAATGCCAACTGTCTAATTTGCACATATTTTGTTATAAACACAGTTTATTATTTATGCATTAAATATACTACATATTTTACCCTACGCTATTGCAGTTTTTTAATGAAAAAATTTGTTTACGCATATATTACAAAACTATTTCAATCATATGAATGTATTTAGTTACAATTATTACAATTATTTAAATAATTTTTGTTTAAACAAATTAATTTTTTTTTTATTTGGAAATAATTTTTTTTGTTAAATACAGGTAAAATTAAGAAAAAATAGTGCTTTAAAATTATAATTTTTGAAAAAAAATAAATGCAAATTGATAAATGTAATCTAATCGTTTAAAAATAAAAAAAAGAGTGTTAACTATAAAAATTTACTGTGACCGTCCTAATCAACCGATTTCAATTTTTCAAAAACCATTTGAAGGGTTGAGCGGTCTTTTCTATGTGAAAAAATTTTCAAGTATCTAGATGCTTTATTTGAGGCTGTGCAACATTTTGCAAATTCGAAAAAATTTTCTCAGTTTGTTTAAAAAAATTATTTTGCGAAAACTATCGAACCGATTTTAATGAAATTTGGTGTGTTGTTTTATTATAAAATAGGATTTTTTGAAATTTTTTAAACATTTTTGCAATTTTGAAAATGTTCCGGACCTCGCCCAGATCTAGGGATCTACACTTTTATTATGTAAGTTGTACTGAAGGTAATCAAAACAGATCCGCCCCTGGTCTAATATTTCAGTGCTACTTTGTGATAGGTGGCTTTATTTATTAAACTAAGACTTGCCAACGTTAAAGTAAAAAAAATACATTTTTTATTAAAAATGTGGGATTAATAAACTTTTTAATTTCAGTACAGTGAAACAGTAATTACTTCATTATTGGATTTTTAATTTTAATCATATTATTTCAGACACTAGTTGTTTTTCACGTAATGTGTAAAATAAAAATTCTAGGTAAAAAGTATACCTAGATATAAATAAACATACTACGCAACAAATTGAAATTAGGTTCAAAATGCCTGTAGTGTTAGATATACAGGGTGGATTAGGTTGTATAAAGGTTGGATTTTAACATAAACAATTTCCTTAATCGACGCAGGATGTACCTACACATGATATTTTAATAAATAAAATCTGACTTAATTCAGTATTTTAGTACAGTTATTTCGTTGGAAAATTAAAATATGATCCTTCGAATTTCAAAAATGGCGGCCATAAATGGAGGTTGCGTTCCGTTTCGTAGATATAGTGCGTTTCATATTAGTAAGGTGACAATAAAAATAATTATTTTATTGCGTCTTATATTTTTTTAGTTTTAAGCGTGTTTGGCTGGGCTCGGAGATTGTATTAACATAAATTCGTTTGTATATAATTGACGATTTTGAACCGGCAAAAAATGCGATTGCATATCGAGAGCAGTTGGCAATGATATGGAATAAAGTGAATTTAGTATACTTTTACATGTTGTAAGAACGAGAATTAAAATATATACATTATCACGCCGAGTTTTGTAAATATTTCATCTTGCTAAGGAAATACTAGAGGGTGTAACTATAAATACAGTGGATATGTAAATATATGATGATTATCTCCATCTCCAATTAACCTACAAAATTATGAAGTGTACATAGTTTTTATTTAATTGCTTATTGAATGTATACACCTTATATTGATTTCTGTGATTAATTTTAATTAATTGTAATTTTTATTGTTTATTAAAATTTTTATTGTCGATTGTACTCTAAAAACAATAATCATGGCAAGTGTTTCTTATCAAATTGCAAATTTGCTCGAAAAGGTTAGTACGGGATGATTCGTCATTCGCACAGGTTAACACTGTCTCCTTTCAGATGACTTCATCGGACAAAGATTTCCGGTTTATGGCAACTAACGATTTAATGACCGAACTACAGAAGGACAGTATCAAACTCGATGATGACTCTGAAAGAAAAGTTGTACGAATGCTACTTAAACTGCTTGAAGACAAGAATGGCGAAGTTCAGAATTTAGCTGTGAAATGGTAATGGTATTATAAAAATCAGCTCATAGTGCTTCATTCATATTTTTTGCAGCTTGGGACCCCTTGTTAATAAAGTTAAGGAATATCAGGTGGAGACAATCGTCGAGTCTCTCTGTGCTAACATGGTATCAGACAAAGAACAGTTACGAGATATATCCAGCATTGGCCTTAAGACGGTTATAGCAGAGTTACCTCAGGCTCCTGGCGGACTGTCTGGGAACATCTGCAAAAGAATCACTGGACGCTTGACCACGGCTATAGAAAGAGTAAGTCAGTTTTTCTTATGCAAACCTTACTCTCATAGAAAAGTGATATTTTAATAGTGTACTTGTGCCAAGACATTAAAAATGGCATTGTCATCCCATTACTCATAACCATAAATCTGCACAAAAGGGGTTTTACTTAGTGCGTATCGAAGCAAATTTTCTTGAGATGTTAATTTTTATGGAATAGACAGCGATCACAAAGCGGCTAATAATAAACACCTTAATTATCGGGCATTCTATTTGTTCTTTTGCAGCAAGAAGATGTTTCTGTGCAACTTGAAGCCCTCGACATCATCACAGACTTGCTGTTACGATTTGGGCCAGTGTTGCAGGCTTTCCACGGTTCTATCCTAGCGGCTCTGTTGCCGCAGCTATGCTCACAGAGGCAGGCTGTAAGGAAACGTACCATCAGCGCTTGCAGTAACCTAGTCCTATCGTGTAACAACACACTTTACACGAAACTGATCGATCACTTATTCGATGGCTTATGCTCCGACAAGAACAACTCCCAAATCAGGACTTACGTTCAGTGTATTGCTGCGGTATGGTAAGGGACGATTTTGCTACGGACCGTCTCGGGTTACTTTCATATACGCATTTCTTTTCAGTCGGCAGTCGGGGCACAAATTCGGGGAGCACATCGAGAAATTCGTGCCTCTCATTCTGCAGTGTAGCCAGGTGGATGATGACGAGTTGAGAGAATTCTGTTTGCAAGCGTTCGAAAGCTTCATTAATCGATGCCCTAAGGAAATCACGCCCAATATTCCATCTGTGAGTTATTTATTAATAGTTTCGATTACCTCTATTGTATATTTATTTTTAGATAACTGACCTGTGTCTGAAGTACATGACATACGATCCCAATTACAACTATGATGAGGATGAGAGCGCAAACAGCCAGACGGACGGTTACGATGAGGACGAAGAGGAGGAGGAGAACGACGAGTACAGCGATGACGACGATATGAGTTGGAAAGTACGAAGGTCTGCCGCCAAATGTCTCGAAGCGATCATATCCACGCGTCATGAGCTCCTTCCCGAATTCTATAAAGTACTGTCACCAGCTTTGATCGCCCGGTTCAAAGGTATGTTGAAATTTTGCGATGTTATATATTTTGTCTTTTTTTTTTCTTAAATAAAATCAATCGACAAATATATTTTTTTTTACTCTATCTATTAATGCGGCTTATATAAAAATTATTATTATTTTTTTTATGAACATATTTATAGCTTGTGGATTAATTTGTTGCTATGTAGGGCAACATTATTTCGTGTATAAATTAAAGATAGATATTTTATTTCTTTAAAATATCAAGGGTCTATGTAGCGAGAGAAATATCACAATTTTACAATTCCAGAACGAGAGGAAAATGTCAAATCCGACATATTCCACGCTTACATCGCCTTACTTAAACAGACTAGATCTACGGTAAATGTGAATATGGACCCGAACGCTATGGTGATGGACGATGAAGAGGAGACCCCGATGACTTTGCTTCAACAACAGATTGAGTTGCTCGTGAAAGGAGTTCAAGGACAGATGCGAGAGAAAAGCATGAAAACGAGACAGGATTGCTTCCAATTATTAAAAGAAGTATGTATGGTGTTGCCGGGAGCATTAAGTGTCCATATTGGAGATTTAATACCGGGAATTTTGTATTCCCTGAGCGAAAAGAACGCTAGTAGTAATATGAAAATAGATGCTTTGTCGTTTATTTACTGCTTGCTGACCAGCCATCAGCCGCAAGTTTTCCACCCGCATATAAGTATATTGCTTCCACCCGTGACCAACGCTGTTGGTGACAATTTCTATAAGATAACCGCGGAGGCTTTAAATGTTTTGCAAGTACTGGTTAAGGTCATCAGGCCTTTGAATATAAACTCCGGATTTGATTTCACCCCCTTTACCAAAGATATCTACAGCTGCACGTTAGTTAGACTTAGAACGGCCGACATTGACCAGGAAGTCAAGGAAAAAGCTATTTCTACCATGGGGCAGGTTGTCTGCAACCTGGGCGACCATCTGAAAAGCGAATTACCATTCTGCTTGCCCCTGTTCTTGGATAGATTAAGGAATGAGATAACTAGACTGACTACGGTTAAGGCTCTTACGAAAATAGCCGGATCACCATTAGGTAAGTCATTATTTGTTATAAAATTCTATAAAACTTCTTTTAATAACACATTTGCTTGTAATTAAATTTGCCCCAATAATTTACTTAGTAAGTGAATTATTCGCAGGTATTGAGCTGCCTATTTTACCAGAAGCGATGCCCATCTTGGGGCTGTTTCTCCGCAAGAATCAACGTGCCCTTAAACTTAGCACTCTCCAGTTAATCGACTGCTTAATCAAGAATTACCACGATGATTTGAACGTGGTACTGCTGCAACCGATCATCGTCGAGGTACCACCACTGCTAGACGAATCTGATCTACACATTGCACAGTGGACGTTAATCATTCTCAAGTCGGTGGCACTTCACCATCCAAGAGCCCTTCAAGATATCAATAATACCATTATGCCCCAGGTTCTCCTTCTAGTCAAGTCTCCGTTGCTGCAAGGTACGGAATTTTTTACGAAACGAGAATTTTTTTTAACGAATTCTGTTTAGGTACCGCTCTCCAGTCGATGTTGGACTTTTTCAAGTCGCTCGTCAAATGCAACTTGCCAGGACTGAACTACGACTCCCTTCTAAGACTTCTCCTCATGCCAATATCAAATCTTGCTACGTGCCAAACGGCTACTCTGCACAAACAGGCCTTCTACTCCCTAGCTAAATGCGTGGCGGCCATCACGGTCACTTGCCACGCTCACGCTTTGCCCGTGGTACCTCAGTTCATTAACGAGATACAGACTGCCTCGACTGATTCTCAACAAATTTTCGCCCTGTTGGTTGTTGGGGAGATCGGTAGAGAAATGTAAGTTACTTACTATACCGGGTGTCCGGAAACTAAACCGACAAATAAAAACAGCAAATTCTAGGAATAATTTCATATCGCTTTGAGATAAATTGTCTTATCCAAAAATGCTTCCAAACGGAGGTAGGGCTCTTTGAAGATGAGCCCTTTTTTCATTATTTTCTTTTTTAATTGTTGATCATTGTTTATCTAGGTTAGAGTTAGCTCTTATACGGGCAACTTTTGCCAACTACTAAATATTAGAAAGAATTTGAAATTTCAAAAAATTCAATATGGTATTTCTATAGGATTAAATCGGGACTTCCAAATTCCATCATTATATCCAATATGTCGTAGAAAGCAATGTCGTTACATCACAACCAATTTTCACTGTATATAATGAAAAATATCAGCTGACCCTCCCAAATGTGACGCATATGGGTACAATTAAAATACCATTTTTACATCAAAAGGCTGTCCGTATAAGAGTTAACACATAACCTAAGTTTGACACTTCTAGATAAACAGTGATCTGAAGAATTAAATAAAAACAATGTCAAAGGGCTCATTTTCAAAGAGCCCTACCTGCCTCAGGAAGTATTTTTGATAAGACGATTTATGTCAAATCGATATGAATTAATTCCTTTGTCTTTTTAATTGCTGGAGAGGGTGTATAGGACTTGTACAAGCTATATTTTTTACTGTTGCAGAGATCTAACGTCAGTTCCTAACCTGAAACAAGTTATACTAAACTCATTTTCCGTTGTGTCCGAAGAAGTTAAGTCCGCGGCTAGTTATGCTCTCGGTAGCATTTGTATTGGAAACCTGCAGCAGTATCTACCGTTTATCTTGAAAGAAAGCCAAGACCAACCTAAAAGGCAATATCTCCTATTACATTCGCTGAAAGAGGTAAGTACTGCATAAATTGTTTTCTTCGTAAACTACCTTGAACACCTATTTTGCGATTTACAGGTTATCACATGTTTGTCGTATACAGCCGAAGGCATCCAGCAGCTTTTGCCGTTTGTGCCTGCGATATGGCAACAGCTGTATCGTCACTGCGAGTGTGTTGAAGAGGGAACGCGCAACGTCGTAGCGGAATGTCTAGGAAAACTGACGTTAATCGATCCCGCTAACTTACTGCCCAAGCTGAAACGATCATTAAATTCTCCCTCGCCACTCATGAGAACCACTGTGGTTACAGCGGTCAAATTCACCATTTCCGATCAGCCTGCCTTGATCGATCCACTGTTAAGGCAATGCATCGGTGAATTTTTGAACACATTGCAAGACCCAGACCTCAACGTCAGACGCGTCGCTTTGGTGGCTTTCAACTCCGCCGCGCATAACAAACCGTCTCTGATTCGAGATCTTCTCGACACAATTCTACCACAACTTTATGGAGAAACTATCATTAAGGTAAGGTTCTTGAACAATATTTAAAATTATTTTTTTCTTATAAATTCAGTTCATTTTTTCCCTATAAATTAAAAAAAATCAACCACACATCACAACCATTAATTTCTTCAAGTCGCATTTAATTATTTTTGGAAACCTGCTTGTAGCCTTTCTCTAATGAAAAGTGACAGTATTATATTTTATATTGAGATGTAACTTATAAAATAATATAAATTAATGTGTTGTTCAACTTGTATGCTGCTGGGCACTCATTTGTAAAACTGATCAATTCTCAAATTTACCATTTTTACAGGAATCTGTAAATTTTAAGGTTATGTGTATTTACAAGTATTGTCTGAAATTAAAAGCAAAGTAAATATAAATTAGTAGAAATGCGTTTTTAGTGTTTATTCGAAAAATAATCAAGCGCACATAATAAGCGATCAATTTACGAATGGCTGGGAACGTTAAAAATTGATAAAAAATCAGAAAGTTATGTTTTTAGGTTCTTTATCTTAATCGACCCGTGTCGAATTTAGAATAATGGTATTGTTTTTATTCCGGTGATTAAATTATACGAGTTAAAATTATTGTACATTGATACGTAATAGTTAAAAAAGTGTTGTACTCTTTAAAAAAGAAAAGCATGAATTAAATAATCTCACATTTGCGTTTATCTGTTAACTATTTTAGAGAGATCTGATTAGAGAGGTGGAAATGGGACCATTCAAGCACACGGTCGACGATGGACTCGATATAAGAAAGGCCGCTTACGAGTGCATGTATACACTCCTTGATTCTTGTCTAGATAAAGTCGATATATTCGAATTCATCAACCACGTCGAAACGGGACTGAAAGATCATTATGACATCAAGATGCTGACGTATCTAATGGTTGCTAGATTATCTCAAATATGCCCAGGCGCAGTCTTCCAGAGTAAGTTGCTCTAACGATGTTTTTAAACGGATATTTACCGGATGTATTTTTAGTGCTGGACAAACTGGTGGAACCTTTACGAGCTACATTGACAATGAAAGTAAAGGCCAATTCGGTAAAACAGGAGTACGAGAAGCAAGACGAACTGAAGAGGTCTGCGATGAGGGCCGTAGCGGCGCTACTCAGCATACCTGATGCAGGTACGAATGCAATTTAATATAAAAAATAATAAATGGTAATAATATCCACAGACAGAAGAAACCAATCACATAAGTTATTTTGAGGTTATGTTTAAAACGTACATTGAATATTCTTAAAAATTTGTTACTTTAACGGTTGTTATGAACATTATCTACAACGGATGACTAATTTATTTGATTTTAGATAAAAATCCGCACCTAAACGAATTCGTGAGCCAGATCAAGAACTCTATAGACTTAGCACCGATCTTTGAATCTGTTCAAAAGGATTCGTCTACATCCCACAGCGATTGTTTCCTCATGGATCAGAGCTAAATATGTATCTGGTCGTTTCATTATTTGTCATAGGATATTATAATAAATTACATTGCTGAAACTTACTGTGCAGTATAGTACATAAATAACTGTTCTTTTACATTGTTCATACATTTCAATCAATATACCGTTTACTTTCATTTCATTCATTAAAATGTTTGCTTTATTTCAACGCCCATTCCTTGAAGACGAAGTTTCTTAATGACAGACGTCACGCAAAGCCTCGAAGAAAGAAATGAAGTTCTTAAAACGTTCACTGCCAGTGGACGCTTATAAAAGCCTACGCGTCTTGCGCTCAATTTTAGATAATTGCAGAACACCAGCATAAATGTGACTGGGATCTAGGTGGCATGAGGGTGAAATGCATCGGCAGTGAACGTGTTAACGACATGTGACGTAAAGACAATGTTTTTATATCGTAAAACATAGACCATACTATGCAAAAACTTAAAATAAAAACTATGACTCACATTTTCCTTTTGTACAGTTCCAGAGCTCTAACAGCAGTCTTTTCACTTAAATAGTTTCACACTACACTATTTGAATATAGTTCAATATTTTTCACAACACTTTTATATAACGAATGAAACACGTTATGAACGACTTAGAAAAAAAAACAAGATGCTAACAGACGCATTTTTTCTGTTTTTACACAAAAAAAATCATAGGTTTGTCTTGCAGCCAACAGCAAAATAAAATTAATGAATACGTTCTTTTCATTATAATATTGTTTCATGAAAATTATAAATATGTGCGGTAATTACAAATTTTCATATTATCCTTAACATTATTTAAAAAATCCCGAAAAAGATTTTGAATCGAGTTAGAATTTATTACTTGGAAACGGTAAAGAGACCTACGCGTGTACAGGTGTCGCTGCACCGGTATTTAATAGACCTACGCGTTTACAGGTGGCGCTGCACGAAATGGTACGTTCGGTAACAGCTTGAAAACGTAACAGTTAGTTCATTATACACGTAATAGACGAATCAAACACAATCATGCCAAGACAATTTCTTTCAAAGGTGATTTATTATATTCAGTATAAACATTGAAGTAACCATAATTTCAAGTTTTAAATCATAATTCTATTTAGATCCATGCAATCTTATGCAAAAGATTGTTATATGATTTACTGAATAACTGGATTAATTTTATTGATTAAGGAAGTGTAAATAAAAAATGTGTTTAACAAAAAAAAAAGTTACTATTATAATATTGAAATATGATTTCTTGTATATTTCTATATTATTATTCTTTTAGAATTGAATGAGTTATGATACGTGCATGATACAATTCTAACGGTTCATTATGCACGTAATACAGATGTCTTCTTTTGCACGAAATGATTAAATCAAACATTATTTAAAAAGATAGTTTCTTTCGAAGGTGTTATTTATATTCAATGCAGTGTACATGAATGGATTCATGAATTTAGTTTCCGATCTTGACTCTTTTAAATCCAATCATTCTTATATAAAAACAAAGAGAATAGGTGTATTGAAGAAGATTGTTAAATGTTTTACTGAATATTTTACAGTTATTAATTTTATTAATTTAACAAAAAAAATATTTATGTTTTTGCATATTTTTATATTACTAATTATCTGTAAGAGCTATAGTTATAGTTGTGATTACTATGAATAATACAAATTCAAATTAATTATTAAATTATTTGTAAATAATACTTTTTTAAACAGAAAATTCAAAAGAAATTTATAGTAAAAAACAGCATATAATTTTTTTTCACGCAAAAATAAGATTTTGCGCACTAGTAATCAATAGTGAGTGTTAATTAATTTGAAAAAAGAGGCCTGTGTACCGATGAATGAAAATCGTTTTTTGCACATTTCCAGGGGCATGCTGTGCAGTAATAAATGTCCCTCCGAATGTCAAAAATAGACCAATAAAAATCTTAAAACGGGGTAGCCGCTCGATTTTATACGTGCAATTTTGTTGGCGATCAAAGTCCACATATCATCCACAGTGGTTGTCGCTGTAAATTGATGTGCGGACTTTTATTTTATGAAAATACAGATATGTGGACATATTTCGTGCCCTCATATATTAGACGTGTTTTTTGAGTTATAATATGAGCGTCAGCTGGGCCCGAACGGCAAGAAGGGACGCACTGCAGGAAGGGATAGCTACAAAGGGACAGCGGATTTAACATAACTATATCTGATTTATTATTAGTTTAGATAATGGGGCTTAATGTCTCCTTTTTATTAATGGTCGAATCACGAACACTTGCGCCCCGCGCGACTGTCAATATGGCACTAATTATGCCGAAGGATTATTAAATAAAAATCAGAAGCTGGATATTATACACATACAAATGAAAATAGGTTAAAAAATATGAAATTTTTGTTTTTTTCATTACAACCTCATTTGCGCCACTAAGAGAAAAACTCAAATCAAAGCTTTTTAAATACTTTAGTCCATTGCAATGGCAATATGCGTGAGTCAGCATCGTTGCTTACACATTTTTATGAGCAATTATTTCAATGTTGCCAGATTCATCCACAGACATAAACAAGGTTTATAGCTGGAATCTGTTATAAAAGAATACGTTGTTTCTAATTAAAAATACCGCGTAAAATGGTGATTAGAAATTGGCAGCAGCAATTTAGCAGAAATTAATGTCAGTGAGCACTGTTTTATAAATTAAAAAAGTTATATCGGTATTTCGTTTCGTCGATTAATGTTGACCGTTTGATTTTTGTCTGCCTAGCGCTTTGTTGTTTATATCACGTCATATCAACATGAAAAAACAATTAAACAAACAACGATAACAAAAATATGCGTTATTCAAAGTTTTCAAGGGGTATATCGTTCCGTATACAGCGATACAGTGAATATTATGCAGAATTAGTTTTTGCGATTTAATTTCGCAACACCCCTGCTCGCATGGGGCTAACCAAAAGGCACCCAAATGAAGTGCGAGATGCCGCGCGGTATACATATGGCCAGTTTGGCGACCCCCCTTTCTAAAACGTCCTGCTGACATTCTCTCGCTCGTCTCATTTATATACGAGGGTTATTAAACGATCATCAATTTCAATTTGTTGGTTATATCGCTGATGAAGTGGTTCTAATACAATTAAATCATGATTTCATAAAACATCCCGTCGTTTCAGTGCGCCAATCATATCCGAACCGATACAAAGCCAAGAATTAATATTTTACGGGGTGTTTGGAAAAGTACAACAAACTTTGACATTTCATTGGAAATACTAAACATCCAGAAATGTTTCCGGTAACAGCTCTTGAACAAAATAAAATTTAGAGACTTTTTCTGATGCAAATAAAAATTGTTTGGGGTGTGAAAAATCCCAAGCCTGCCCTGTTCGTCCGGTGGGTAATGCGATGCTCGAAGTAAAGCTCCCCAAAACCATATCTAATACAATAAATTCTCAATCACAACTTTAAAACCTAGAGCGATGATATCAAAATACATTTTGTAACCATAAGGGGTGTAGTGTGAAGCTCGTGAGGGATTTGCAGGAAATATCCGTGGATGTGATAGGGCCACGTGCCAGGCGCGTGTAGATAACGCCGAATCGGCCTGTAATGCGATTGTAATGAGAACTGCATGTAGTACACATCTGTTGACTTGCTATTATAATTACCGCAGAACGACGGCGGAGAGTAGGAGCTAACGCGGAAAAATGCCACGGTAATCTCACGAATTCCGAAGGAAAAACTGCTGAATCAGTTCTACTCATCGGCGGAATTTGATGACATAAATTCGTGTCCAGACACAATTAATTAAAGACTGTTGTTCCAAAATGTCATTTTTTTAAAAAATATTTGATGTTTAGGTATACAGGGTGTCCCAGTGTCAGAGTACAAAAATTTACCAGGGGGTAGCCCAGACCAAAATAAGATTAAAGTTCTCATAAAATATTTTTCTGCGTTGCACTCTCATTGAGTTACAGGGTGTTGTTTAGAAAAAAACAATAACAACTTTCCGCAAAAACTCAGAAACCCTTTCAGGGATTTAAGTAATTTTTAGGTGAAGTGTACATCTATCTATTAAAGGTCTTTAAAACTACATGGTGATTATTTCGATCTGACGCTAGGGGCGACCTAGGCCAACTTGTCCTCAAGGTTATGTCTTCATAACTTTTGCATATCCTTGTTTTATGTAATTTCCTATCATATTCCTATTCCTATTCAGATCATAGTTCAACAATGTTTCTATGTAAGATATGTTTAAAATTATGTATTAAGGTGGCCATATTCCTGGTCGAGAAATAGTGAAATTTCTGGCGTTTTTAGGTACTGAAATCTTTAAAAGTAAAACGTGTAGAACAAAAGTAAGCACAAAAATAAAATCCTTGATGTTTTGTTTATTCATTACCATTTAAATTTACTCAAATAAAATAATAACTAAAAAAAGCGTTTGTAAAACATGCGTTTGCTGTTATTCTAACCCCACATTTTAAAAATTATTTTCACGTACTTATAAATAAAAGTAAACAATTTTATATGTACGACTAAGCAAGTAAATGTTATAAGAGTATTTACATGTGGAATTATATATAAAAAAGTTAGTATTTTCGTAGATTTCAGTACCTAAAACCTTGATGGTTTGATCGTTTTTTGCACCTGTTTATTCGTTTTACTGCGGCGTCTTTGAAAATACTCAGGTGGCATGACATAACATTCCTATTATTTGATAAGCTTTAGATTATTCAGTTATTAAATGTTTGAAATTATTTGTCTTTGCGGAAAACGGTATTTAAAGAATATGGGGCCCTTAATATTATTAATTGTGTATATGTGAAAAAATTATGCCGAAATAGTGGAAAGAACAGAAAAATCTAGTTCGAAACTAGCAAAATTAGTTTGTGTAGTAATGTAAAGTAAAATGGGGAAACGAATATCTTTTTGTATCGGCTGTTTTTTACGTGATTAGTCTTTGTCAAGGGTGATAATAGAACATAAGAATACAGAGTTTAGAATTGTACCCACACGTCACAAAATTTCTTTCAATTTAGTTTTATTTGTAGATTTGTCCAATGATTTATTCATTTAATCGATTCCAATAATATTTTATGTGCGTTAAATGAAAAGAGTTTGCATACATTTAGTACCTAGCCCCCAACACAGTAATAGACTGGGTTCAAGCGTCGGGCGAGATGTAAAG